CTGATCACAGCTAATATAGCAAAGCTGCTCTCTGGCATCGAACACAGGAGCAGCAGAAGCATCTGGAAGAACTTTACTGGACGTCTGACCTTAGTGAGGATCAGATGAAGCAGCAGACGCCGCCTGCATGGCGTGCGGTCTGAAGGTCTGCAGGGGTGCCGTGTTGAAGCTAGCGTTAGCAATGAACTGAATGGGAGGCGATGGGTGAGGTCACAATCGATGGAGCAGATGACGGAACCCGCCTCAGGTGGGCGGGGCTTGAAGCGATCCGTTAGAATAACAGGCCGAGGTCGTTTATAACTCCACTTTATTGCTTTACACATAGACAGGTGTACAGACTGAAAGATATAAAAGCCACTTCTAAACATGATGGAGGCAGAGAAAGCCCGTCCTTCTCTTCCTGTTGCCGCTGGTTACGCCTCATCCTCACTTCTTCTGCGCAGACAGAAAGCTGGAAAACAACAGATCAGCCAATCAGCTCGTTTCATTGGCTGCTTGGTTTCAAATGAGCCTCTGATTCAGTGATTTCCATCCTGGTCCTGAAGGCTCCTGCCCTGCAGGTTCTAGATGTTTCCCAGCTTCACACCTGTGATCAACTGATAGCAGATCATCAGGTTTGCTGAAGCTCAGAAACATCCAGAACCTGCAGAGCAGGAACCTTCAGGACCAGGATCTAGTTAGCATGGTCCTTCCTTCCTGGTCTCAGGATGTTTGCAGGTTAACGTGTTTCTGATCCGGCTCATAAACTGCAGCCATCAGAGGAAACGACAATGACTGATCAGTCTCAGATATTCCACCATCTTTAATACAGACAGGACAGTCTGCAGGAGTTCGGTCTACATTCCCTCTGGACCCGTTCAGAACCTCCATGGACAGGATTTCTAGGTGCAGGAGACTCTGATCCGTTGGACCAGGAGACCGGAAGAAGACCGGCTGAGGTACCAAGTCACTGGGAAACCCAGACTGTGAACTGATTATGAAAATAAACTGGGCTGAGGTTCTGGACCAGGAAGAGGAGGTCTGTCCCCTTCAGGTTAGAACACAGTTCCTGCTTCCAGCTCTATCCTGGGATCCTGTTCACCAGTGAGGGGAGACTGGAGGTGGAGATCTATGGACTGATCTATAGACTGATCTACAGACTGATCTATGGACTGACCTACAGACTGATCTATGGACTGATCTACGGACTGATCTACGGACTGATCTATGGACTGATCTATAGACTGATCTAT